AATCATTCAACATTGTGTGAGCAAATTTTCTGGATATGTTCGCACGATTGAGCGAGCTCAACGTAGTGGAAACAATGCAGAAGATAATGTAAGTAAATAAAATTCATATATATATATATATATATATATATATATATATATATATATATATATATATATATATATATATATATATATATATGGGGTCTAGCATAAATGGTGATATGTCCACCCCTTAAATCTTTGTTTGTGATAATCCCCTAGAAATTGTACTCTCAATAATACCCTTGTGTCAATTACCATAATTTGTCTTAATTATTCCTTTTTTTCTCTATTTCCATAACAACAATTTAATTCCTAAAAATTTCTTTCCAAATTTCTAAAAATATGCTACAAATAAAAAAAAAATATAATTGAATTTTTTACTTTTATTTTTTATTATTTCGGATTTATTTCGCATTTTTTTTTATTATTTTGGATTTATTTCGCATTATTATTTTTTAATTTATTTTTATTTTATATTTTTAATGTTTTTGTAATAATTTTTTTTTAATTTTTTTAAAATAAAAAATTTAATTTTTTTTCTCAACTTGTTTACTACGCCGAATATGACTATATCGACTGTAGTCATATTTCTTTTTTATATTGCAGTTTTTTATATTTTCAATTTAAAAATTCTGATTATATAGGGTGTAGAACAGTCATATTTACCAAATTATATTAAAAAACGAAGATTGCCTATTATTTACGAAAAACATCCAATCAACATCCACACAAAAAAATCACAATTTGAATGTTGTTATTACAAGTTAACTTGAAACGGTTAAGATGGAACATATTTGAATATGACTACGGCATATTCAAACAATAGTCATATTCGAATATGATTATAGTCATAATACTGCTACTAGTTCAGATCTCGTGAAAGAAAAAATATATTCAAATATGACTATAGTCATGTCGAATATGACTATAGTCATGTTACTCTCCTAATTTAGATTTGAAGGTAAAAAAATTGAAAAACACACAAATAGAGAGAGGGAGGGGAGTTGACTACAACGGCGGTGGCGGTGGTGAACGAAAGCGAGAGTAAGAGAGGTTGTGACGGTGGATAGATCTGAAGAAAAAAAATCATAATATTGAAATTAATTTGCAATGTGATTGGATAAAATACAGTTTCATTCTTTTGTATGATAAGACGAGAATCTTAGCTACCTTTTCTTGGTTGTACAATGGAGGCCCTCCCATTCTTTGTGGAAAAAACTCGTACTGGTGATCCGCGTAACATACGAGAAATTAATAAATTACCAATCGAGTGAATCAATAATAGGCATATTCGAACCAGACTATAGTCACGTTAATGTTGCTACTTCAGATTTGGAGAGAAAAAAAAAAGAAACAAAAAGCAAAACTAACGAAAAGGATGGAGGGGGAGGCGGCAACAACGACGGTGAATGAAAAAAAGAGTGGGGAGGCTTCTACGATGTTCGTGGTGGACAGATCTGGAAAACAAAAACTGAGAAATCGAGAGGGATAACGAAAAAGAGAGAAAAAAAAAACCTTACTTGGAGGCGTAGGACGCGGAGGCGGCAACAAGCGGCGATGGTAGTGGTGTACAAATCTATGTGAAGACGATGGTGGTGTAAAGAGAGATAGAAATCGAGAGAGATAACGAACGAGAGAGATATATATTTATGTGGAGATGAAGGAGGAAGCGACGACGGCAATGAGTGGCGGTGGTGGGGCGGTGGCGCGGCGGCGGTGGCAACGGCGGTGGATGAAGGTTGAAATTTCCGGATACAGTTGAAGGAGGTGGAGAGGTGGAGAAGATGAAAGTGATAAATGTGGCCAAATAATTAGGGTTATAGTAGTTGAGGGTGTATTTGTCTTCTCGCACTAGTAGAGGGGGGTCTCACTAATTAAGAATGAAATTTGGGTATAGGAAAAGTCTTTAAAAGTCAATTGGGTTTAGTTCAAAACAATTTCCATTTAAGGGGTGTATTGCATATATATATATATATATATATATATATATATATATATATATAAAATTTTCGTTCAACCATTAATATATTATGATTTTTGTTATAGATGATTGCAATAAAATAACTATATAATGATAAAGAAGAGCATCAATTCAAATATGACTCTTGTTGCATGATTTTGAAAGACACTTCCAAATGGTATAATTATACTATTGAGCAGAAGAGAAAGCAGAAAAAAACTTCCCAAAGAAAAAGGGTTGAAATTGATTTGGATGATGATGAAATTGAAGATTCATCAAATACCCAACCTCCATCATCTAATCAATCAACCTCAGCTACGATCCCAACTTCAACCGGCCATGAAATTGTTGATGGAGTATGTAATGATGGCGCACAGGGACTACCATGTCATCATGGTCGTAAAACTGCAAAAAATGCTAGAAGAAAGAAAAATCTCAATTCCATCGATTTATTTGTAGAAGAGGTTTCTAATATGATAAAAAAAAACAATCAAGTCGCTTTGAAGAGGAGGGTATTAGGAGAAATGCAATCAAACAACAGAAATTACAAGCTAAAATAGAAACAAAGAGAATGGAAATTGCAGCAAAACTAACACATCAACAAAAACAACGCGAGCAATAAATAATATTGATGGATCCTCAATCGACACCTACAGAGGAAGGTAAAGCTTGGAGGGATGTTCCGACAAGCTTGTTCAATATACTGCAATCTATTATGTATTTTTGTTAGTTTTATTTCATTTATGTTTGTTGAATATTCTGTATTATTTTATCGATATAAATATAGATACAAACAAAATAAAATAATATATCTTACTACGCAATAAAAATGGTGATTAATATTTAATTAATGCAATCTTATACAAAATTAATGTATTAAATACAAAGATTCAAATATAAGTACATTATTATATTTACATTCTTAATATTTTATTATTGTTTAAGATATTTGGACAAATTTTTAGGGAGTTTTAAATGTACCACTAGAGAAACTTTTTCTATGAAGTGTTACATGTGAATCCCACTTTTAGTGAGCTAGTAAATTGAGTAGCTGACATGTGGACCTCACTGTTGAGAGAGTATTGATACGATCTCTTGAGTATCATAAATATTTCCTACGAAACGTAAGATCTATTCTTTAATATTTCTCTCTTCATAATAAAACCCTATCACAAAACGATTATTTAAAGATAATAAAACCCTAGAATCCTAATCTAACTAGGAGACATAATTACCTATACTAATAAAATACTTAATATCTATCCTATAACCACTAAACCTACGGCTCCTAACTAAATTAATACTTAAATAATATATATTAAATAATAAAATACTAACTAACGAATAAATATACGATATATTAAATATATATCGTATCAAACCACCCCTCTTGAAATGAACCTTGTCATCAAGGTTCGAGTCAATTTGGTCCCTCTCCTTTGCGTTTCCACCTATGTTTGACTTCATCGACTTGCTTCCCGATTAACTCCGATTCAGAAAAACACGATGAACGACCAAGCTTATTAACACATTGTTCATGCTGATCCAACGAAATTCCAAAGGCTACTTTTGCAAAAAATCTCAATCTTCTCAATCTCTCTCCCGATAAATCAATCTTCTCAATTGCCTTTTCAAATTTCATCTTCCTCACAATCAATATCATGCTTTCATCTTTCTTAGTCGTCCTTACGGATTCCGGTTCATTTACAATCACCAAATCTTGTTCGTCTACTTCCTTCTGAATATCATGGGATCCTTCTAATATCCACTGTAGTTCTTCGCTCTCTTCCTTGGTTAATTTCTCGTCTTCGTCCCAGTTTATTTCAGTTGAATTCGATTCTTCTTCTTTCGGCGAACTCAGAAAAACTTGGGGCTCTTCGAAAAAGTAATCGTCGTCCTCTTCCTCTACCTCCGGCGATAGGCTCGGCAGCGGCAGTGGCGGTGGCTCTTCGAAAAAGTCATCATCGTCATCTTCCTCTTCCTCCGGCAATAGGCTCGGCAGCGGCAGCGGCGGTGGCTTTAGGGGTGTTTGGCGGCGGTCCCTTCGGCTTTGATGATGGCGTTGACGTCGTCCTTGACTTTGTTCGAGCAATTTCTGAAAATTAATCCGTAATTTCTCTACGGATTTTTCCAATCGCTCCACCCGTCTTGTTTCTGACATCATGATTTTCACAAAGTTTTGATGTGATCTCAACTTTGCTCCAGCGTAGCTTTGATGTAATCGCTGCCTTGCTAACGAAGCGTTGGTGTTAATCGCAACTTCGCTCTGATACCAATTGATGCGATCTCTTGTGTATCATAAGATTTCTTTACTGATCGTAAGAAAACTCTTCTTTATTATTTCTCTTCATAATAAAACCCTAGCACAATTACCTATACTAATAAAATACTTAATATCTATCCTATAACCACTAAACCTACGGCTCCTAACTAAATTAATACTTAAATAATATATATTAAATAATAAAATACTAACCAACGAATAAATATACGATATATTAAATATATATCGTATCAAGTATTTTATAGGGGTTTCATTAAAGATGCCCTAATGGACTGTTTCCTAGAGTTGGTAGAGAAGACTTTGAAATTTCTCCAAAGACTTCAATTTTCTAAATAAATTTTCATTTGCTTGGAAAATTCTTAAAATAATAAAGAGAACACTATTACGAAAATACATGCATGGACAACTATCTGACTTGAGTGTAATAACGCTGAACTTCATGATGAATACTATAAGTGGTTAGGTAAAGTCTGAAATACTTGCATATTTTTTTTGTAATTAATTATAGTCTCTACGCCTTAGAGAATGACAATGGTGTATCTATCAACTCTCTCTTCTTGACTCAGCCCATGACAGAGTCAAGTCAATGACAATTTTCCGAGTCTTTTTCTGTAATTAGTATATCTCCACTACTAAACATAACATATATATATCATATATATCTAGCATACTGTACATACAGTTTTTATTCATCATCAAAAAAATAAATACATACTTGAAAATAACAGAGACATGAAATCCCTTCTAGTGTTGGTTTGTTGGGTTGTGTTAGTGTGTGTAATAATTGAGCTTGAGGGATATGGAAGTTTAGGATGCATAGATGAAGAGAGGATTGGCCTTTTGAATCTTAAGAAAGCGTTTAACTCTCCAAACGCTGCGGCCTCGGCATTTCATTCTTGGGATGGAGAGGAGAGTAATTGCTGCGAATGGGAGAATCTGCAATGCGACTTTATTACAAAGCGAATTGTTCGACTTTCACTCAACAGCACCAGAACTATAGGTTGGGGGTACCTGGATTTCTCTTTGTTTCTTCCTTTCCAAGATTTGCAGGATTTGAGCTTGGCTAGAAATCACTTAATAGGTTCGTTTTTTTTTTTTGGTGTATTTTGAGCACGTTTCTTCTCTATCAATCTTTTTTCTGTTTTATTGGAGATATTAATATTAAATGATACATTTCACTAACAGCATAAGCTTTTGGTTGAGATGGTCATTCAACATGTTTTGTTTTGTTTTGGGTTATTTTTTTTTTGTTTTTGGTTCATTGTTTATGTGTAAAAAGTTAATACGTTTGGAAGTTTAATTGGATGAGGACGGGATAGCCTTACGGTAAATTAAAAGTGGAAAATAACCCGGTGAAGCTAACCGAATTTAGCATAAAACAGGTATCAATGGTTCAATAAGATCAAATAAGTTGCAAAGTTTGGATTTAAGCAGCACTGGACTCACCGAAATTCCATCCTTGGCCACAATGCAATCCTTGAAGTTTCTTGACGTTGGGTTCAATAACCTGAAAAATTTCACTAATTTTAATGGTACATCTATACCTTTTTTGTCGCTCTAATTTTCGACACCCCCAACCATATATATTTTGTGTGCGCATTTTTGCTCGTAATTTTCATTTTCCCCATTTGTCGTATAGAGATAACGAAATTGAGAGGCTTGGAGACGTTGGCAATGACTATGAATCACATGAGTAGTCAGATACCTTCATCACTTTGGTCAATGACCTCTCTCAAGGCTATTTCATTTAGTTTCAACAAATTGCAAGGCTCTTTACCGGCGGAAGGTAACATCGTTAATTACAAAAGCATGCATTTCTTCATAAGTCCTAATATTGCCGACGAAAAATCTATCGTTTTATTTTCCAACATTTATACCTGATTTTTTTCACGCGTACAGGTTTGTGCAAATTAAGGAAGCTCGAAGAGTTGGATCTGAGTTTCAATAGCTTACAAGGGATTATTCCTTCATGTCTAAGCAACTTGACATCTCTTCGAGTCATTCAACTATCCCGCAACTTATTTACGGGAACTATTCCTCCAAATCTCTTCTCTAACCTTCCCTCACTTGAATATGTCTCCCTCACATACAACCACTTTGAAGGCTCAGTCTCACTCACTTCGTTTGGAAACAATTCGAAACTACAAGTGTTTGAGCTTGATAGCCATAACAGCAAATTGAGTGTATATACAGAAGATCCACTCTGGAAACCGCTGTTTCAGTTGAAAGTTTTTCGACTATCAAACTGTATACTCAACGAGCCAAACAGAGTCGTACCAACTTTTCTTTGGAATCAGTATGACCTAAGAGTCGTAAACCTCAGTCACAATGGCATGACGGGAGAGGTCCCAACTTGGTTAATCTCAAATAACACGAGATTAGAAACCCTTAGTCTCCAAAATAACTTATTGAGAGGTCTAGTGTTTTTGAACCCTGATGTATCAAATCTCGATCTTTTTTGGTTTGATGTATCACGAAATCAAATAGAAAGCCAGATTCCAAATTTCATTGGTTCCATCCTTCCAAATTTGAAGTTTCTTAATATGACTAGGAATAGACTTCATGGGACAATTCCAACATCTTTGGGTGATATGAGAAATTTGGATGCATTAGACTTGTCCCATAACAATTTATCTGGAGAAATACCCGAACATTTGGTCATGGGTTGTTATTCTTTAAGTTTCTTGAAACTGTCGAACAATAACTTGCAAGGACAGTTACTTCCTGCAAAGTCGAACCTCACTAACCTGTGGTCCTTGTACTTGCATAATAATCACTTCTCGGGAGAGCTATCTCGTGGACTGTTGAACAGCCGTGACTTACAATGGCTAGATATAAGCAACAACAACATCACAGGCCAATATCCCGATTGGATTAGTGGTTTTCGGTCTCTGAGTACACTTGTGTTGTCTAGAAATTATTTGCAAGGTACCGTGCATACAAGCTTATGTGAACTTCAGAGGCTAAGCTTTTTGGATCTTTCTGCTAACAATCTAAACGGTATTTTTCCTTCTTGTGCCAATCTCACTTCACTAAAATACCTACATTTACAAGGGAACCAACTTGTGGGACCAATACCGAGTATTTCATCTTCATCATCATCCTCCCTCGTGACAATGGATATTAGACACAATCAATTTTCAGGGGAAATTCCTAGTTGGATAAGTTCGTTCTTGAATTTGAGGGTTCTTCTCTTGAAAGGAAATAGCCTCCAAGGCTCGATTCCTAATGAACTGTGTCAGCTCGGAAACCTTAGTATACTCGATCTATCTTCCAATAATTTTTCCAACATCATACCTAAGTGCTTATATAGAATACCATTTGGCGACAAAAAAGAGCTGGATGATACATTTTCCAGACAAGAACTAGGTTGGACAACATATAGACCCCTCAGGACATACGCCTTTGAATGTCCATTCGATATAACGCCATATACCCAAGCAGATTTCCACATGTCTGATGTAGCGGAGGAGTTTGAATTTATATCAAAGCGCAGATTGTTGTCCTATCGAGGAAACATGCTGTACCACATGTCCGGAATTGACCTTTCAATGAATAGCCTGACAGGTACTATCCCGGACGAGCTTGGGAATCTTAGCAGTGTCCATACGTTGAACTTGTCACACAACCACTTGACCGGAAAAATTCCGACCTCGTTTTCTAACTTGAACAGAATCCAGAGCCTCGATTTATCACACAATAGGTTAACTGGTGAAATCCCGCAAGAGCTGATACGGTTGAACTTCTTAGGCGTCTTCTCAGTGGCGTATAATAACTTGTCGGGTAAAATACCAGATCCGAAAGCTCAATTTGGAACATTTGACGCTACAAGCTATGAGGGCAACCCACTCCTTCGTGGACCACCGTTGGATGAAGGTGGCACTAGAACCGAAGATATTCCTTCCGCACAACCACCTACAGATTATTTCGAGGATGATTTATTCAAAGTTTCATTTATGTGGAGTTTTACCATCTCGTACATTGTCGCATTACTAGGAGCCATTTCTTTTCTGTATATTTTCTACTCACGGTAGAAAATTTCACTACTTGTTTCTTATTCATGTGCCGTTTCCTTTTTTTTTTTTTTTTTTTTTTCTTTTTATACTTCTGAACATTATAATAGAATACTTGTGACCACTTGTTATATTTCAAATCACACAAGTTTCATAATTGTGTTCTATAGAATATTATTTGTCTTTAGTGTCAACATAATCATTTTAATCCAGTTAATTAAATAGGTAAAATACTTACATATTCAACATACAAAAAAATCTTAATAAGCAATGTAACTCACAGCACACTCTCTGTCTTTGGCATTTTGTCAAACACTTGTACTACAAAATCTCAAACACAGACAAAATCCAGTCCAACCCAACGCCTAACCTCAGATTTTCCTATAAGTGGTGGTGCAAAACTTCACAAAACAAATCAATAACATTAACATGCAACATATATTACTAGTCAAATGCGTCGTGAGCTAGCAGATAGTATAATTTTTAAGAATAATATCATATATCCCTATTCAAGACTTACTGAAATTTTCTATGAAATTTTCAATCGTGAGTAAGGCAGCATTGCAATTTAAAACAACGAACCTGGATTGATTTCAAGGATTCCAACAAAATTGGAGTTGGGAACTTGGGTGAGTGAAGTACCTTTTTACATTTGAGGGGTGATGAAGATCATTTGATCAAATATTTACACATCTTCTCTTTATTTCCCAGGTTCGATTCCTGCTACCCCTATTTCCTTGTTTTTTCTAAATTGAAATATTATTAGAATTTATAATTCTATTCTAGAATTATCTTATTACATATATAATATATATATTATGATTACGATTTGTGAATCATTTTCAATTTTACCAAGAGGTAGAAAAATACGAAAAAAAATTAGAATGAACGGCGTCTATGATTTTCAATATCAAAATACATATAATAACTTGAGGCAATTTTTTTTCTAGATATTTGGGCCAAACTTTTTAAAATTAAAACATATTTAAAATTTATTTCACTTCTACAATAAGACGTTAGTTGTATTTACGCTTTTTAAGAAGCCGTCACGTGTCAAGGTAAATTTTTGGCATCCCCTCTTTCAAGGGGAAAAATGAAGAAAACGTGGATCCGCCTCTATAATTGGTGTCAGTCTAATTCTTTTGAGTGATGTTATTTCCACCTCTAAATTATCTCAACTCACCATCAAAGATTATAAAATGTCAAAAATACCCCTCAAATTTATAATCTACCACCCTTTCTTTATATTCACTTAGGTGGTGTTTGCAAAAGCTTTATGAAAGTGATTATGTGCTTTGTTTTGCTCATAATCTGTTTTCAGGTGTTTGCAAATTCAACTTTTGCTTTTGTTTCTCTTAAAATAATCGGCTTTAAGCTATTTTTTAAAAGCACCCCTAACCCTGTCTTTTCTATTTAAGTTCATTTTCCGGAATAATTGCAAACACCCCCAACTTTTAGAAATAAACACTTAAAACTGGTTTAACTCACAGTCGCTAACTTCTACTTTTATATAATCTTTTGCAAACACCACCTTAATCTTCATCTGTATTAAGTTATTTTATTTTTATTTTTTTATTTATTATTTTTTGCAGTGAAGTATTTATTACAAGATATTTAAACTTATATTCAGATGACCTAGAAGTTATGTATTTTTTTTAGAAAACAAAATTATATTAAGCCAAACTGGCGAATTTTGGAGGGAGTCGAGGACCTTCCATACAATCACATAATTTATTTCTCAAAAAACGTGAATTCCTGCTCATTTTGACCTTCGAAAATATTTTTCTCTGAGGAAAGTATTATTCAGTTAAGGTGGTGAGGGTGAGATTTCCAGTGAAAATGGTAGGGTTTTTTTTAATAAATATTTTAATTAGTTTAGTAGTAGATGGTTTATAAATTAATATATATATATATATATATATATATATATATATATATATATATATATATATATATAGAGGTGAAAGAAGAAGAAAGGGGTAAAATGGAAAATATAGTTAATTTGGTAGTGAAATAAGATATTTTGATGGTGAAATAGCACGTATTTTTTTTTCCTAGTGGATTATGTTAGAATGGTGGTGGGTGATAGCCCTTACAGTGCATTTTCAGTGAATAGTGGACTTTGAAAAGTGGATTGCGTTTAGTGAATGTTGATAAATTTTGACGAGTGTGTAGTCGATTTCAATTTCTGGTAAACTCGGTGGAAAAAAAAAAACAAGAAATTATAAGAAAATAATACATAGTGGATTATGTTAATTAAATAGTTAATTAAGTATGTAGTAGATTTTGATTTGCTAAATCTGCCGGAAAAAAATTATATTTAAAAAACTATTTAAAACAAAAAAAAAAAAAGAAATTAAAAAATTAAAAATTTAAAAAGTAAAATAAATCAAAATTAAACACGATTTTTTTTTTTTTTTTTTTTTTGCAAATCAGAGGAGAATATTCACATAATTTTTTAATTGATTTTCCATATTAATCCAATTGATGATTAATCGTTAATATTTTTATGAATATAATAGAGGTAAATGAAGTATTATGCTAAGTGAGGGGTTTATTCCTAATAGTGGATAAAAAAATGGATATATGCCTGTAAGGAATTTCCCCCAGTGGTTATCTCATATAACCTCTAAGCAAAAATGTTTTTCTTAATTTATTATTCATAAAAAGTTTAATAAAAAAATGAATAAACAATAAAAGTAATAGTTTTTACTTAATTATTGTTTTATTATAGTTGTTCAAAGCAAACTAAATAAAGGCATAATTAGTGAAAAACTCGCCAACTCATTTACTTATATTAAGTTGGATATATCTCCTTTTTCAATGTTAGTGGGAACCCCCTAATTAGTTATTTAAATAAATATTTATTAAAATTTAAAGTAATCTCACCAATTTAACTTTGTATCAATAATATATAATTTATTTTCTCCACCTTAAACCCTAACGACATATATTCATCGTCTCCTCTTCTCCTATTCTCTTTTCTTCCACAGCACACCTTCGTCTCTCCACCTCCGCATCACCGCCGTCCCTCCGTCACCTTCGTCTCATCTTCCTCCCCTATCATCTGCCAGCGCTCGTCACCTCAGCCCCGACATCATCTCTCGATCTTCCTTGTTTTTCCTCAACTGTCTTCGTCTCTGATCCACATATACCGCCACAATCGCTCCCCTGCCAACACCGTCGGCACATCCGCTGCTGTGTAGCCCGAGCCAACATTCCTCCGCTTGCAATCTGGTTATGTTTTATTTATTTTCTTAAGTATAGTCCATTTTGCCATTTTTTTTCCTTTTCTAGAAAATAATCTATCAACTTTTTAGGAAGATTTTGGGAAAATAATTGGAATTTTTGAGCAATTAAGCCCGACGGCCATCTTTGATTTGTTAATAATTAGGGAAATTTGGTGGGGGATTGTCCTTGGTGGACGGTGGTTTTTGTGGTGGCTTAGAACAGATTTTTCAAAATTTTTATTTTTCTTTTGTGTACTACTGCAAGATTTGGTGTTGTAGCAGATTTTTATTTTTATTGAAATATAGTTATTTTAACTGAAGATAAAAAAGTATATTAAAAAAATATTTTTTAAAAGTATAATAAAAACTTAAAAAATATTTTTTTAAATATTATTTTTTAAATAAGAAATAAATAAAAACGAAATTTAAAATTAAAATACAAAAGAAAACAAAAAAAAGTGCATCAAACTAGTGTATAATAGGTAGTAAATATATGAAGGATAAATTTGAGAATAAAAAAAAGATGGGTCTCTCACTAATAAAGGAAAAGAACTGGATTCTTCCTCATTAAAATAATGCTAGAGGGGGTTCTCACTAATAGTCCCTCAAATAAAATACTCTTTTTTGGGTAAATTACGTAACCCCCCCTAAACTTAGGCTAAATACCGAAAACACCCCCTTTTATTCGTAATTACCAAAAACCCTCTGATATTTGTTTGCGTCTTACACCAACCCCTTATAGTGTGACTTTTCACGGATTTTTTATTTATTTCAGGGATTAGATTTTACACAATTTCAGATATTTTCTTTTATTTCTCACATATTTAACAGAAGGTATCAGAGAATGTACACATTTTATGTTAAAAAACTCGATCAACGGTTAATCAAAAAATGATATAGATTATTATAGATAGATAGGGGTGTTTTTCTTTATTTAGTCTAAGTTCACGAAGGTTTTCGTAATTTACTCTTGTTTTTAAGGGAAACTAAATAAAGTTAAGGTTGTAAAAAGCGGTAATCGGGTCGGAGGCGGTGAGGGACCAACTCACGATTAATCGGTGCGGCGGTGATCAATCGGTGATAAATCGAAAATAAATCGGTTTTTAAAATTTAATATAATATATTTGTAGGTAATATTTATAAATACTCAAAACATAGATAAAAAGATATTTGAACATAGTTATATCTCCATCATGTATATATCCTAATAACATAATAAAAGTTTAATAATAATAAGATCATAATACATAAATATCCTTATAAAATATAAATAAAAAGGCAATTTTTTTGAATTTATATAGATTCCTGGCATACATCATTAGTTCTTTAAAAATAATAGTTAGCATAAACAAAATAAAGCATAAACTCATTTTTTTTTATTAAAATTCCAACTTTTATTATAAATTACTTAAAAAAAAAAAAAAAAACCGATTTTTCGCCGATTTTTGCCGCCGAAGTTTGACCCGCCTTAAAGGTTTTGACCGCCTTAAACCGCCTCACAGGCAAAAAAAACCGATTTTTCAAACCTTTACACTAAAATCGTAAAGGTTTTAGACCGCCTCCAGCTCGGAGACCGATTAATCGGCCGCCTCGACCGATTTTCAGAACACTAAATAAAGTACTTCAAAATGTAAAAGAAAAATAGAAAAAAGAGAGAAAGTATCAAAGAAAGAAAAAAATAATATAAAAAGGGGACACACCCCCCACTCACACATAACCCAAAACCTCCTGCCCCACCCACCTCTCACCCTAGGGAGTGATAGACGAGCCGAGCCGACTCGTGAGCTCGATGAGCCGGCTCGAAAAAATCTCGAACTCGAATTCGAGTTTTTCGAGTTCTAGTTTGAGGTCGCGAGCTCGAGCTTTCTGACGAGTCGAGCTCGAGCCAGTTTTTAGCTAGCGAGCCTTATTCATTATTTTTATTTTATTTTTTATGTTTTATATATTATTTTTTATTTAAATAATATATAATAATATAAAATATTATAGAAATAAATGAAAAAAAATATAGACATTAAAAAAATACATAATTACAATTTATTTTTATTTTGTAATTTTTTAAAATAATACTTAATAATAATAAAATAATAATTAAAAAAAATAACAAAAAAATCAATAAAATGAGCTCGAGCTAGAGCAAAAAAAGAACGAACTCGACGAGCTCGACAAAATAGACTTGAGCTCGAGCTCGAGCCTGCCAAAAGAGGCGAGCTCGGCTCATTCACACCCCTACCTCATCCTAGAACGGAAAAACTATGGAACAGGTGGGCTTCACGTTTTCTTCATTTTTCCCCCTTGAATGAGTAAATTGGCCTACAATTTACTTTGACACATGGAACCTTCTTAAAAGGCGTAAATACAATTGACGTGTTATTGTAGAAGTGAAAGAAATTGTAAATATGTTATAATTATAAAAAGTTTGGGTCCAAATGTCCTAGAAAAAATATTAGCCCCTCCATTACTATCCCTAACTAAAAAAGTATCATCAGAGATAAAAGTATTTTCCATTTGTCTAGGAAGGAGGGTGCCCTTGATATTTTTGGGGCCCCCGAAGTTTAAAAAAATGACCCTTTTAACAAACAAAACTAAAATATATTATGACATTAATGAATGAGGATAAAAAGGCATAAATCTACACTAAATATCATTGAAATATATATATATATATATATATATATATATATATATATATATATATATATATATATATATATTATAATATTTGTTTAGTTGCACCATAAGGTACGATAAAAAAGACGAATTATTTCTCTCTTTTTTTCCGCTAATGATGGATAGTAAAATATTAAATTTGAAACAGTAGGGATTTTTTATTTTCATCCCCAATGCTTGACAGAAAATTGTGCAATTAATTTGAGCCCGGATTGAAAATAGACCCTACAACCCAATTAAACTTTTTTTTTTATTTGGGGCACCATAGAAAGTGGGACCCAAAGCCATTGCTTGTGCAACATAGGCTCATGGCCGGCCCAGTTTGTTCTGTTACACTTAAACCCTTCATTTCATCAAGTTCCTATTGAAATAGGATCCATACGAGGGAAAAGCACTTCACATTTGTTGGTTATTATCCCGAAAACGTATGGGTCGAAATATGATTTTCAACTTAAGTTCTGAATTAGTGGATGATACCTAAGAAATGGCGAAGTTGAATCTAAAGAATCTACTGCTGGATAAATTGTCCGATTTAGAAGGATAAGAAAAAACATTTTTTTTTTCAAACTGAACAATATTAATAAAAGGCTGTCCCCCATTTTTTTTCTTACATTCTCATCACTTTGATATGTCTTTTTCAAAGAAAAAAAAAAGAAAAAAAAACTTTCATTATTATTCATTTGTAATAAAACATATCCTGTCTCTACATTGGATCAAGAACATGCACCAAAAGGCGAAATCCCTCGCCCCAGGGCCCCCATCCTTTGGCCCGACAAGGATTGATGGAGGAATGTAAATCATGGTAACTCAACGGCCCGTTAAGGTAGCGGACCCGGACCTGGTGCCCACAAGGAACCAACTCATTGGAGTTGAAATTCCCACACTGCGGCTGCCAGGATTCGATCCTAGGACCTTGCACCAACTTACCACCTCCGGAACCAGTTGAGCTACACCCATGCGGGCAGGATCAAGAACATGATATTATTTTAATTGAATGGTGACCGTCTAATTTCTACTCAAGTAAAAACTAGTCTGTATATATAATAGTTAGTTTGTTTTTTTTTTTTTTTTTTTTAATACCCTTCTTTTCATTAACTTTCCTTCTTCTTTACCGTGTCCAACTTTGTTTTTCCCAATGTTTTTAGAACCGGACGACTATTTGGGTCATGGGTTTATAAGGTCAAATTGGTTCAACCGGTTTTTTGATTTTTTTTAATATGCTATTATTGTATTAATTTTAATGTTTTAAAAATATTATTTTCTTTATATTATTATAAATCTCCCACTTATTTTCACTTTTATCTACTTCACCTCACTTTTTACTATATTTTATTTCTTATACTATATATTTTTCTATTTTTTAATCTTCAAATCAGGCAATCGGCAACCCCTATTCGACCACCCATGATCATATCGGACAATCCTTCGACCACTCATGACTAGATCCGGCCACCCACTACTAAGTTTCTTTACAAATAAGCTCATCAATGAGTACTTATTCATAAAATGGTCCAGACAAAAAACACTTTTACAAAAAACTTCACACATGGTTCAGAGGTTTGTAAAAGACTAAAATAGTCCCTCACATTTTAAGATTTTCCAATTTCATCCTTTTATTTAATCTAAACTCAATTTGACCCCAAATTTCACAAATTAGTCAATTTTGACCCAAAACACAAATTTCTGGATAATTTCGTTCGTTGCCACCGTTGACCGCTGGTCTCCGACGTTGACTTTTTTCTATTTTTTTTAATTTGTTTTCTTCTTTAACATTTTTTGCCCCCGTTTAAACAACAATATTGTTGTGGTTGACAATAATATTAACTATATTAACTATATTACTATTAAACACAGAAAAATTAACTATACTACAGTTTAACACAGTAATATTGCTATATTAATCTCTAGCACAGTAATATTGACACAACAAAAGTCATTATTATGGTGTAATAGAGTAATATTAATATGTTGACCGTTCAACAAATGTAAACACAATAAAAAGGCAAGAAAATTAATATTACTGTGGATTACAGTAATATTACTGTAACAACAGTAATATTACTGTGTTTACAGTAATATTACGGGTTTTTTGAAAAAAACACCCCTATGTAATCTCGAATGGCTAAAAAAACCATTGTGTTAAAACAATTAGCACAAACCCCCCTGTGAAAATTAATCAAAGCCAAAAAAGCCCCTGAAAGCATGTCGTGTGATCCACATGCGGATTGTGCAACTGGTAGTGTA